CATCCCCGGCCATCATYTGCTTGATGAGCCTTGCCTTAAATTCTGCAGTCCGCTTCTCTATCTCTGCCAGTTTGCGACGGGTATCTAAGACTTTTGTCTTTTTAGGGGTGGTYCCTGCTGCGTTCCGAGGGCTTGTTTTCACGTCGTTTCCCCCTTCCCTGTTTTCCTGAGGTCCCCTTTTGCTACCCCCAGCTTTCCCGGAACTTTCTCCTATTGAAATGTTTTTTCCATCTTCTCGGGTTCCTTCCGGTTTGGCTGACTCTCGATCCTTCACTGATCYCTCGTTTCGTTCGTCACCCCCATTCGTACCCTGGCTCCCCCTGCTCTGCTGATCATCAAACTCTTCTTCTGTCGYCATTCCCTTTACCTAGCCTGCACATGGAGAATTTTKYTTTTGCGAAAAATGGCCGGRTGTTCATAACTTGTCCTAGTCCCGCTCTAAAACCTGCCTATTCCCATGTTTTTTGCGTCTTATATTAATTGGTCCGACTCTCCTGACTTTTCTTTCTCAGGGCGTCCTTCAGGTTTTTCTCCCGCCGGCCTTTCCGCCGCCGCTCGACATTTCTTTACTACCGCGCTTAGGTTCTTAGGGCGGTGCCTGAGCCCAGTGGCTTCCCTATCGGGTATAGCCCTTTTGGCTTTGTCTCGGGCATCGCAACTAAGCTAGCGTACTTACTAAACATATCCACAATGACAAAGACATATCCCATACCACTCTTGCTGGTGACCAGCGTATCCATGAAGTCTATGGACAGGCTTTCACCGGGCCTCTCCGGAATCGGAAGGGGCTTGATTAGCCCAAGAGGAGCCTATGCGCAGGGCTTGTCCCTTTGGCACACCTGCCAAGTCTCCACGTACATCTTGGCGTCTTTCATCATGGTGGGCCACCAGAACTACTGCAACAAGTTGGCTGCAGTCTTCTTGTAGCCAAAGTGTCCGGTGGCATCATGACATTCTCCTAAAAATGAACTACACAAAGACTCTCTATTGGGGACACACAAACGTTTATTCCCGACCTTCTTGAGGAACAGCAGGCCGTCGACCAAAATAAACTCACTAGAGGTGACCTTATCCTTTGCCTTGAGTCTGCGTATGATCTCTGCCATAAACGGATCCTCGCGATAGGCTTCCACCAAAGATCGAGTAACATCGTCCGCAAGCCCGAACTTGGTAATCAGCGCACCAAGGAAGTCTGGTGTACGAGACAGCGCATCAGCAACCTTGTTGTACTCCCCTTTCATATACTGGGGCTCAGAGTCATATTGTTCTATGACTTCAATCGAGCGTTTCAAAGCATCGGAAAGTACCGGTTGTGTCCTCATCCATCTCAGGGTCTTATGATCAGTCCTGACGTAGAAGAATCGCCCAAGGAGGTAGTGCCTCCAGTGAGTCAGCGCTTTGTAGATCGTGTAGAGTCCTCGTAGGTGGACTTAGCCAACTTCTGAGAGGGCATCTTTTTGGGCATGTACTCTACGGGCCTCAACTTTTTCCCCTCCTGCTGAGCAAGCACGACGCCAATGCCATATTGGCTGACATCCGTAGTCACCACAAATGGTTTGTCAGGATTGGGCAGCTTCAAGACCCCATGGTGAGTGAGAGCATGCTTCAAGTGCTTGAAAGCAGCCTCACACGTGGCTGTCCACTCCCATGGGGTGTCAAGGCGTGTGAGATCTGACAAGGGCGTGACCACTATGCTATAGTTCTTCACAAAATTGTTGAGGTCCTTGTGACATCCGTTCTTCACAAAAGTGCTTGTCAGATCGGCCAGTCACGTTCTTCACAAATCTGCTGGCCTGTCATACCCAAGAAGGACCTCAGCTCGGTCACAGACTGAGGACGCGGCCAGTCACGAATGTTGGCCACCTTCTCGTCATCGGACTTTTATCCCTCCGCGGAAATCTCATGACCCAGATACAAGATCCGGGTGCGGCCAAACTCGCATTTCTCCCGGTTGATCTTGAACGGGTGCTGTCGAAGGAGACAGGGGACTTTGCCTACATGGGCTGCATGCTCCTCGACAGTCCTACTAAAGATAAGTATGTCGTCAAGGTACATGATAACAAACTTAAGTAGTCATGAAAGATCCTGTTCATCGCGTGCTGAAAGGTGCCAGGAGCATCGCAAAGGCCGAAAGGCATCACCACAAACTCGTACAGACCGTATCTGGTCTGGAAAGCGGTTTTGTGTTGATCCTCAGACCTGATTGCAATCTGATGGTACCCGGACTTCAGATCTATCCTGCTGAAATACCGACACCCTTGCACTCGGTCCAACAAGTCATCGATGCGTGGTAGGGGCTCTGCATTCTTCATAGTGATGGCATTGAGACCCCTATAATCAATGCACATCCTCAACGTCCCCCCCTTCTTCGGTACAAATACGACTAGAGATCCATAAGGGGAGACACTCGGTTGGATCCAACCCTTCTCTATGAGATCCTTCAACTGTCGACGAAGCTCATCAAGCTCCGCTGGAGACATCCGATAGATCCTACTCTTCGAAAAACTAAACCTTGGGATAATCTCTATCGCATGGACGACCTCCCTCTCAACAACCCCTTTCGACTCTTCGAATAGATCAGGGTAATTAGCGATCACTCCCTCTATCTCTGGAGGCATTTTCACCGGCTCACCCTCTGCAAAGACATTTACATACCCTCCTCCGGGATTTTGCCAATAATAATTATAGAATGCGGCCGCACACATGATCCCGTAGGACTCGATCAGACTGCTAGCTTTATACTTCCGCAATCTGGTGGTCCCCCCTCCGGGCAGCGTGTGTTTGACCACTTTTCGGTCCCAGTCAAACTAGGGCTGTGCAACGGAAAGGTAGTACATACCAAGTAGGATATCCATCGGGAGATCATCGCTGACTAGGAACAAGATTTTATGTCTCAATTCCCCTC